AGTGATATGAGCACCAAACAGAAAAGGGATATGAGCACCAAATTGAAAAGTGATATGAGCACCAAATTGAAAAGTGATATGAGCACCAAATTGAAAAGGGATATGAGCACCAAATTGAAAAGTGATATGAGCACTTAATCGTGACGTGATCACAAACGTGATCTGGTCTCGTCCGTCCGTCCTACCTTCGCGGTACGCAATCGATCGGTCGCTGACGTTCATCTCTTGCTGGAGCACGGTCAACACGAACGACGCTTCGCAGGTGCCGACTTCCACGAGCAGCCGCATGGACGCCTGTTTGAGCCGCGATTTGGCCACGTCATCGTCCAACGTCAGCGGAATCAGCTGCAGCACCAGCTGCCCGACGTCGGTCAAATGCGGACGAAACAAGAGCAGCCCTTTGGCCAGCAACTCGGCCGCCACGATCGCCACGTGGCTCGGTCCTATTGAGTTTCCAACCAAGTTTGAGAGCAACTATAAAGAATGACGAGTGTGTATGTAAACGAACGAGTGTATGTACCGTGGAGACACGCGACCAACACATCGCACACTTGGCGCGCGCACGACGGCGAGATTTCCCCCGGAAAGCACGTCCCCAGGATGCTCAGCACGACCAAATACGACCCCAACCGCGTCACCACGTCGCCCATGGATAACGTCATCCATCCTGCGATAACGTCAGTCATACCATATATTATTGTTTGTGTCAGAATATATATATATCATGTTGAACAACGGATAGATATATACACCTCCAGGGCGTTTGTCCATTTGCTGCAATTCGACTTGGAACTTTGTCATGTACGCCGCGGCTCGGGTGCTGCGGACGTTTTCTGGCAGGCGTTTGATCACCCCTACAGTAACCCACGCACTACATCAAGTCGGAACTTGGGGAAAAAAGATATTTTCAAAAAATTCATAGACTTATATTGTCGATTTGATAGTACAATTTTGGGGAGGCGGGGGTGCAATCGAATCAATCGCGCCGACCAAACCGATCCACAATCGATCTGATTGGTTGAATTTCATTTAGAAATGGGTTTTGATTGGTTAATAATTTTGAGCTCATCTGAAGTAGCCAATCAAATCGATTTAAACTCCAACGAAAAACCACAACACAATGAAATTTCACTCAAAAGTACAATAATATAGTACTATAATATACCGTGCAGGAGCAACCGAGATGCCATTTGGCTGGCTTCCCACTCGTGAAACCCAAACTCGGCCAGCGCTTCCAGTGACGGCTCCTTGTAATGCGGAATGCGTTCTGGTAGCACCACCTACTGGCACCGTCAGTGAAAGCACTGGTCACTCTTTACTAGTCGAAGACGCATATAGTTATTGTACGGCAATCTGGGTGATGAGCTGGCTCCACAGCACTTGGTCTTCTTGGCTTGTCATGTCCATCACACTGGTACACATGGTCACCTACATGCACGAGTTTGAATAGATCCTGTTGTGTCGTCGTCGTCTATGACGTTATCAACCAGAGCCAGGGCCAACTGCGCCGTGAGGTGGGCAGAGTGCTGCCACTTGGTTGCATGCGGGTGTTGACTCGGTCGAGGCAGGGGCACCGTGATGGCATCCTGTACCCCCGAGATGGCAATGCTGTAGGCCAAGGACGGCTCTCGCACCCCTAGTTGTATATAACGTTGCCCATCAGTCAATCCATACGATGACATATCATATATATATGGACCACGTCGTCATCACGATCCCGTAGACAGGACCAAAATCGTACCCAACGTGTCGTGCACGAGTTGGTCAATGTGGACATCGTCATGCCACGTGAGCAAATACGCCAACAGCGCAGTGACGTGATCGTTGAGGACGATCCGAGCTGTAGATCCAGTCGACAAAGGCAAACAAGATACTGATGACGTTGTCTTGGCAAACGCCTCGATATCGCAGGGAAACACGTGCACGTGTCGCAGATGGGTCGAGCGTCGACTTGTCGGCGGCGATTGGTGGTGGTAGTACGTGGACTGGCGCACCATCACCTGCGGCACAATGCGCTCCAAGATGCCCGTGGTGAGACTCCACATGTATATCATGCGGTCGGCGCATTCGACCAGTACGTGGTTGGTTTCAAACGCCCACTCAACGTGGACGACGGCATCGGCGTGCCCCACGCACTCCAACACCACGTCCACCGAGAGCCCGTCGGAAGTTTGGTCGGCAGGATGGTGATGCTGGTGTACAGCGTATACCGTCACCTACGTCCAGCATTTGAAAGGACGCAATATGGTTTTGTGTTTATATTCTAAAACTAGGGTGACATGGAGAATGAAAAATGAATCGATATAACCAAATTATAAATGTACACAAGAATCATCGGCAGAAGGATATATTTAGCCAATCCAATTGCCGGAAACAACCATCATCAACATCGAATTAGTGTGTGACTTTAATTAGTGTAATACCAATCCCCACTGGACACCTTTTTACATACAAAATATATCAGTACAAACAAGATATCGATCGATAGATTTGGCAAAGAATCAGCCCAAAAGTCAACCATATTTTGGGTAAAAGGGTTACAATATGGGATTTTTGCGTATATATGTACTGAACAACAACACACCCATGTTTACATCTTGTAGAAAGATTATAACGAGCTACGATACTACTGTCACGATGAACACGAAAAAGCGCTCGCGAACCATCAACATGGAAACGTGAGCTCAAGTGCAAAGTGAACTTGAAGTACCACACATTGAATTCAATGTAGTATACATACACTGAACACCACCGCGTGATTTGCAATGACTATACAAAGTGAACTTCAAGTGCAAAGTTACAAAGTTAGACCTTACAAACAAACTCAAACAGACTGCGCGGATCAACGGTACATGGGACATGTACGTGATACGTGAACTTGAAGTGCACATTGGATTCACACCGCACACTTCAAAACGCCACGTGATTGCAGCGCAACGTGAACTTGAAGTGCAAAGGGAAAACTACTCGACTGGTCTTCAAACTGACCTTTCGATCCGCACCCACAGATGCGACGATGGTCGTGCCATGACAACTCGGTGTCACATAGAGACCCGTGATTGGCTGGGAATGGCGGCGAAACGACCGCAAGACTGTCCACGACACACGTGGCTGCAGCTGCGACACCACCACGTGGCCACTGGACGTGCCCGCAAACACCAGACACACACGGCTTTGTATGGGGTTTCGGGGTGGCGACGGCGGGTGGAAGGGCACGGATGCCGACGATGACGAGGCGGGGGGGGCGGTGGCCGACGTCGCTTGCTTGGTGGTGGAAGTGGACGTCGCCCGTGGTGTGAGCGAGTGATGATGCAGTTTATGCAGCAATGTCGAGATTTTAGCGAGTTTGGCAGCGTGGAAGGTGCTGCTGCCGGCCGTGGGGCTGTCGGCGTAGCTTTCGTACAAGGCGGCCGCGTGTTTGGAGACGCGAGTGACGCCGCTCAAATGAGCGAGGGCGGTGATATGATTACTGGGGACAGTATCCGGAAGGGATAACGTCATCGGCGACGATGCTTGGGACTGTGAGATGTTAGCAGGGGAGGATTCCCCCAAAGCATGCAACTGCAACCGACCACTGGCGTATCCGTGGATCTACGTGCAAGGATAATATCCTTCAGTTAATACTAGTAAATATATATATATATATATATGGTGACTTGTTGGGATTCGTCAAGCAGTACTATGTAGTTGTAGTCTTATTGTCGAGTCGATTCAAAATTCGAGTGCTCAATTGAATGAGCAGCACCAAATCGGCAGACAATCGATCGACCAATCAAAACCCAGAACACAATTCAAGTGGCCAATCAAATACTCCCTTGGACAAATTCGACATCTAATTAGCTGTGGTACTGAAATTAGTGTGACACTGGACGATTTTTACATACAAGATGTCAACCGATCGATAGATTTGGCGAAAATCAACACAAAAAGTCCAAATTTGGGTAAAAGAAGGACAATATCGGACGTACGAGCAAAGGCGTCGACAACGGCGCGTCGGGTGACGTCCCTACACACTCTTGGGTTGTGCACTTTGCCACAAGACTAGTAATACTAGTAGTACCGTGGTCCAGAATGGCATGGGACAGAGTGAGGTTGTCGTCTTCGTTGTCGTCACCGAGTGTTGGTGACGATGGCAAGGGGGTGACGATGATGGCCGTTGGTGACGATGACAACCGCCACAGGAGCGAACACCCACACGATCCAATAAACGATATGATCACGTCATGGTTTTCAGTTGTGAGGGTAGTGACATGTCCTAGGATTACCTTATCAATCGTCGTGACAAAATAGGGTACTACACATGTATATACCTGGCAGTGACGAAAATAGGGACGCGCCGCGGGGACACTGGCAGTCGGGAATGACAAGAACGGGTACCGCGGGCACGTCGACCCGCGCCAGGGGGTACGCGACCGACTGCGGCACTTCCGTGTCATCCACGGGTTGAAACACAAACACTTGACCGAGTTGGGCGGTGACGTTATCACAGACGACGGCCGGGAACGAGTACAACGTGTTCTGACTAGTCCAAAGCAAGATCGTGTGGTTGTCCGTGAAGCATCCGTCGACAAACTCAACGTCGTCGCAGAGACAAAACGTGGTGCGGGTAGGGACGTGGTGGCGCGTGTCGTGGCCAGGTTCGAGCCACGTGCGGTGGAAAATGGCAAATTTAAAGCGCCATAACAACAACACTAGCGATGCATTCGGACTCAAATGGACCTAAAAGGGGTACGAAATATTGTCGATTTGATAGAGAGGGTGCAATCGAATTGACGAAACCGATCCGCAATCGATCGGATTGGTTGAATTTCATTGAGAAATGGGGTTTGATTGGTTAATAATGTTGAGCTCATCTGAAGTAGCCAATCAAATCAATTTAAATTCCAACACAATGAAATTTCACTCGAAAGTACAATATACACACACATTCACGACCAAAACGGGTAGTCATAAACGTCTGGTTCGACCCGAAAATAGCGACGTACGTGGATGGGAAAGTGCGATCGGTCCACAAACGTGGTCTGGGGGTTGATTTGCATGTGGATGCAAGACATGTCGAGTGTATCCGTCGCCCATGAGATGATCCAGGAAGAGTCTTCTTGCCATAGATACGACGCACATGCTGGCGCATTGGCGCCAGGTACGTCAATGGAGGACGATGTAGACGTAGAAATCGGCTGGACCCAGTTGTACAACTTGCACAGCCCTTCCGTGCCCAATACCCACACCTTGGAATCGATCTGCAAACACGAGGATATGTATGACACATGCACACAGAATGGGAAGGAATCTCGTTCGGTGGGACGTTTTATACAAGTACCTGATGGGATTTGTCCTTGCCGTAGGCACATTCCCCGACGCCGACGTCACGACGGCCTTGTTCGAATCCGGTGCCAAGGCATGCCAGTGTTGCGCACGTCCACGTATCCAGCACGAGCATCCGACCTACGCGATGGACGTGAAGAGACGCGTATATCTATTTAGCTACCTCACCTTGATCCCCATAAGCTAACGCATACCGCTGGTTGCAAAACGTTTGAAGGCCCAACAACGGCGACAGTTCCGCTACAAGGTTGGACTTCCAATCCAAGCAACGCCCGTCGCGAAGCAACCAAACCCCTACCGAGCCATGCACGTCGACACTTACGCACACGAACTCTCCCCATTCGTTCACAGCTGTTGCCAACCCGACGATACGCGCGGTGTGGCGAAGCATGAGGCAGTCCAGTTGCCATGTCATGGCCGACGAAGATCGAAAGAGCAGCAGTGTGCCCTGCTGAGTCCCGCAAACCATGACGGTGGATGCATCGTCATGGGGCGCAGCTATTGTCGACGTCGTGAACGTCAGTCCTAGCGCCTTCAATGAGCTGTCGCTCCACACGACCACGGGAAGGTGCATCAATCGACGATATCTTGCGCTAAACTGTCCGACTCACGAAACAAAGTTGCGAAAAAAGAAAAATACCTGTTTGTTTTGGCCAATCAACGATTATTTTAATTAGAAATATTGAAATAATGCCGAAAATAAAGGCAGTGGAAGCCATTTGCAGAAATTCAATTGTCAATTGAATACTTTGATTAGTTGGAATATCGACCACGTAATTCGATTGGGTAAATTATAGCCAATCCTCAATGTCTGATGAACGGTATGGAGAGTTTGTATCCGTACAGATTATCCGGAGGTTTAACGTCTCGATATTCAAAACGTATTTGTAAATACTAGTAGTGTTTAACGTGTCCAAATTCAAAGTTAACACACACGTTAAACAATACTACTACCGTATAGTGTATATGTATTGCGACGGATTAATCTATTGCGACTCCTGTAATAACTGATAATTTTCTTGTAATAACTGATATTTACTTGTCCATATGGTTGAATATACTTCAAATTTGTATGACGCAATGGATTAAAAACGCTTTGAGAACGAGTGTCGGCCGGTTGTGAAATTTCACCTGTCGCAATACATATACACTATACGGTACTTCAAAGTCGTAAAGTGTTTTTCTCCGATTTGGCCAATACGGTTGGAAAAAGTACTAATGGAGTGCACCATACTAGAGGCAAGCACCCGACCCACCCCACACATGTACGCCATATTCGACAGGGTGGAGATAGTCTGGAGCGGCAAGATGCGCAAACACACATGCAAAACGAATGAGCTTCATGTTACACGCTGCACGAGGGTTGAGTTTGGCTAGTTTCTAAATGGCGCTACGACCAAAGGTCGATGAGACTATGCTTCGTATATCGCATGAGAATGCATCAAGTACTGTACCTGCAAATAATATTGAAGCTGGTACTTCATACGCACGAGTTCTTGCTCGGGAATCTATAGCTTCAGGTCAACATGGGAAAATTCCTCATTTTTCGTCCACCTTGTCCAGCGTCACGGGATGTGTATCGGGAATTTTCCCAGTGCTGGCGGGATCGACATGGGCAGGATCCTCATCGTGGACAGGCGGCAGCGCCGCGACGTCGTCGGTCGCGGACTCGGGGTCCAGTTGTGCCCACAACATCAATTGCTTTTCAAATTCTCTACAACCCCACCACATGCATGAACGCCATGTAGAGCAACCAAAGCTGAAGGCGTACGATGCATTTTCCTTGTGCTGCTTGTGCAACGCTCCAGGTCGTTGCTTGGACGACGATCCATTGGGCAGCGCGGGGAAAGTTTCCCCGTCGTCCGTGATGGCTGAGGAAGGCACGCGCTGAAAAATGGGAAATGCCCCCTTGGGAACAAACACGACCTAAACAGGAGTACATGTTAGCATATACACGTAAGCTACACATGACCACGAGCGATTACGTACGCGTAGGTCCTCAATGTAGTCGGTCTCGAGAGCATAGACGTTGATCGCAACATGGTCGTTCCGGTTGAGCTCCATGTGGAAGAGATGAATGCCGCATTGCTTGCAGAAGACATGTTGCGTGGCGTAGGTTGCCGACACTTCGTGCGAATACACGGCGACGTCCGTGGCCGTGTGGTTACTCGTCATTTGGAGGTGTGTCATGGGCGCCAGCTAGTGGAGGGAATGCTTGAGTCGTGAGGGACAATAAAACGAACCACATTGGCAAGGTACCAGCACGGGAATGCGGCCCAATTTCGACGGAAACGTGTTGCTGTCGTCAAACGCGCACAGCGACCGCGGCGCTAGGACGATGAATCTACATGGGAAGCGTTTGTCAACATGGGAAAGCAATATTGGGGGATACGAGTCGTACGTCAAGTTGCCACACCCGCAACTCCCCTTGTGTCCCACGAGCGTACTGGGGTCAATGTACTTTTGCCTGTCGAGTGCAATGGTGCTTTGCTGACACGGGGAAGAAAGGGAAATAATTTGTGTGTGTGTCTACCTATAATACTCGTCCAGCGTGAGTGGCTTGGGTCGCAGGAACTGATGTGCCTGTACATGCATCATCAGGTCAAGGCCACGCTATGGTGGTAAGACACTGTACATACGAGATACAAGGCGACGCCGACCCCGATTGTGGCCAGGGACCCGATCAAGCGGTCGACTCCAGGGAGACGTGCACTTCCCATATTCTGTTGGCTTGTGTCGTGGACGAAGAAGGAGGCACGTCGCGACGGAGCGGTTCGTGCTTCTCGATTGCCGCAAGGTCGCACGCACTCTCACTGACTGGAAAATCCCAAAATATTCATATTCAAAGGTACACTTGCCTCTTTAAACGAATAATTGAACATCATTTCACTTTGCCAGGCTCAACACTCTCAAGCAGAATTCACTGCGATTTACTATTGTGGATTTGGTCCAAATTTGGAGTTTCACGCAGATTCTCGAAATGGCAAGAAATCGGCAGACGGATGGAATAATATAGCATTTATTAACAGTATAAGATAGTAAATTCAACTTTAACACCATTCGACATGTAGGACATCGTTTTCCGTTGTGGTCACAAGCACACACGGTTTCCTTGACGAAGATCTCCGGGCGCAACTTGTACGGCTGTCTGAGGGAAGCTTCGCGTGTTGTAGTGGTGTGCAGGCGGCGAGTACTGCATTGCACTGTCCTTTCAAAAATGACGAATGCTTTGGATCTGTTTGAATTTGATTGGTTCATGAAATTCAGTATCCTATGATTTGATTGGTCGATCGATTCTCTGCCGATTTAGTGCAGCTCATTCGATTCAGCACCCGACTCCAATTTCGAATCCACTTGACAATACTGTACTCGGAGTATTCATAAAAAGGAGCAGTTTCTTTAAACGTTGAAATTAGTTTTGTGTTGCGAGCAACTTGACAGGTGATTAATAACTACTTGAAGTATGAAATCGTACGCCTCGTTTATGAATATTTGACGGTCATTGAAGTTATCGAAAACCAGAGGTGTGTGACTGCTTGAGAGGGACAGAAAGGGAGGAAGCCAAGCATACACTTGCCGAGAGCGCGACATGTGTACATACTGTCCTACTCCGAGCAGTTAGTATGCCAAGCACCGGAAAACGACTACCCTATACCGTGTATTACTCCGAACAGTTAGTATGCCAAGCACCGGAAAACGACTACCCTATACCGTGTCAAGAGCTATTGATTACAGTTTTCACAAAATTTTCTGACTTCTATTTCATATTCATTACTCAAAATTGCAGCAAATTGAGACGTATAATCGACAGATCTCAATGTGGTGAAGAAATTCTACGTCTCAGATTCAAATTTTGTGATGAATTGGTCCAGAAATAGATATTTAACCTAGC